TTTATATTTTTACTCATTCTCTCTTATTATTATTTATATTTATTTATATTATTATTTACATCATTTATAATTTATTGAATTATGATTAGTAGTCCTCCAGAGATGCGAATTAAGTTAATCAATTCTGTTCAACCCATATGTATTTTAATTAGAAATTTATTATTAATTTATTCACTTTTTGTATTCATTTCTTTCTTATAAATATGACCTGTCTGTTCTATACTTTTAGCCTCAGATCTGAATACTTTGTAAACAAGATAAAATACGATATGAATAAGTTTTAATTTTATAACTTATGATTGTTTTTATTGTTTAAAACATTAACAAAATAATCTTACACTTATAATGAACAAATAATTGGACCTAATGAAATTTCAAAGAATATTATAACATTATTTCATACAATATTTCAAAGTTTTCTTTTTAATAATACATCTAGTAATAATTTTAATATTAATTTTAATATTTACAATATACATAAAAAAATTATAGATCAAGTTGAAAAAGGATGTCAGTGTGAATCTCCTAATGTTGTTATACTCGAGGCTGGAGGATTACCAACAACAAATGAAGATATCTTTTTATCATTGGAAATGTACAAAAATGATATTGGACTTACTACAAATGGAAAATTAGATATTTCATCAGATGAAGCTATATTTCAAAGAGCAATACAATATAAAGGAAAAGAATTTCGAAACTTACTTGGACAATGACATACTAATAAAGATATGTGTGGTGTATTATTAACAATTTTTTCAGACTATGGTATTTTTAATTTAGCTGGTGCACTTGGAGTTCAGTATTTAGACAAGTTAGAAATGATTGCTAATTATCAATCAACATGTCGAGTTTTAGAACTTTTATGGGCTGCTGTAGGTTGTGCAATTCATATATATATTAAAAAATATCAAATTGAACTATCAGAAATAATGAATTGCAATAATAATTTAGTTAAAGTCTGGTATCTTTATTTTGTTTGGGCAAGTTTATGGAAGGCTCACAAAGTTGGAATACGAAATGGAAATTATAATTGGCAATTTAAAGTATTAGAAGCTTTTTCACCACTTTTTTCTGCATCTGGAAAAAATCGATATGCTGAATCAGTTGTTCATTTTCTTGCACAATTACATGAAAATACTGAATTACAATCTTTACTTCAATTAGCATGTTCAGTTAATATTTCTCAAGATGGACACTATTATGCATTCGATGAAGCCTTGGAAATATTAGGAGTAAAATTTGTAAAAGAAAATATATCAAAAACTGCTAATATAGTAAATCTTGATACTTTAAAACTAGAAATCAAATCAGTACAAGCTGAACGTGAACGGTTAGCAACTTTCTTATCGGAATTTATTAATAACCATTCGGAAAGTCATGGAAATCATTCAATTCAAACAAGAAATGAAAAAATGTGGAAACTTTCAATGGATTTAATAACAGCATTTGAAATACAAAATCCTAAAGATCATTATTTATTTTCTACTGCTCAAGAATTAACAGAACAAGGATATCAACGACTTTTTAATCTTTATAATAATGGAATTCAAAGAACACGAGCTATTTTACGTCAAGATGTTTATGGTCTTGAAGATCGAATTACTATTGGACGACGCAAACGGGAAATTATAAGATATAAAAATAGTGATCTTAATATTAAGAAAAAAAGAAAAAGTGAAGATACAAAAAGCAAAGATAAAATACAAACTGAATATCAACCAAAACGTCAAAAAATAACAGAAACTTTATCAAAAACATTAAAAAAGATTCGACGACAAACTACAACTAAGGAAAAAGAAATTTTGAATCAATTTTTATTATATTCTCAATTAAATGATCAAATTATCAATGACATTCAGGAAAAAATCCCCACTTGGGACAAAAAACGACTTAGAAATTATTATTATAATAATCGAAATAAGAAATAAGATCGATTATAAATATATGAAATTTAGATAAGATTATAAATATAGTATTAAAATATAATATTTTTTTCATTTTTATTTTCCTGCAAGTTTTGTAATTATAATGATAAGTATTGAAAAATTCATTTATCAAGAACTAAGAAGCAAGTGCAAATTGCTTTTCTAACTTGAAACCATATTATCACTTTTAATTGAAAAATTTTTTGGAACTGACAAGAATGGAAGTTACAGCATCCTGACTTGAATGTCGAAAGTGTATCAAAATTATTAATTGCTTTTGAAAGAGTTTATCTCAAATGGTTAATATCTCTCGCTCTTGTTACTTGTGTTCTTGTTTCTCATTATATTCTTGTCTTTAATGCGTTTCTCATTATGTTCTTGTCTTTCATGCTCTTGTCCATTTGTTCTCATCCATTTTTACTTGCTTTTGCCCATTCTCGCTTTTGTCTATACTAGCTTGCATTTTATTCTGAAACTCATGGCCTGTCTGATCTAAAATAATCATTCAACGCGAACCAGCTAAAAAGTTTATCAACCATGTCTTTCATACTTTTGGATTGAAATCCCCTCGCCTAATAATTGATTTGTTGTCTTTTTGAGAAATTATTTTCCAATCGGGCATAATAACACTATTTTTCCAATGCGCATAGTAATAATATTTCCAAAACTCGTATGATGAAGTACATCTATAGAATAAAAATGCAATATCGTTGTTAATTTTAAAAAATATACCTGGCAAAATAAAATCTGTTCTTTGTATATCGTTATGCTGTATCATGCTTCGGAACTCTATATTTTGAGATAATAAACTTCGAAAATTATTAGTAATAAAAAGTATCACAAATAAGACAAAAAAAATTAAAAATAATTAGCTTATTCCAGGGTTGTATTTTGGAATGCTGTATCATTCTTCGGAACTTTATATTTTGAGATAATAAACTTCGAAAAATTATTAGTAATATAATAAAAAGTATCACAAATAAAACGAAGAAAATTAAAATATTTAGCTTATTCCAGGATTGTGTATTATTATCGTACTTCAGAACATTGTGCTTCCGATGGTAGTTTCTTCGCGTATTTTTGTTTTGCGCATTGCCATACTTCAGAAAGAAAAAAATAATTTATTAGTAAAAATAAAATAACAAGGTAAAAAATTAAAAAATATAAATACATTTATTAGATAGTTGCTGTGCTTCGCGTATTGTATTTCATGCTTTAAGATTGCTGCTGAAAATCATGACTATAAAAAAATTATATCAATTCGGAATGCTGTACAAGTTGAAGTGTAAAAAATCATAAAATAAACAAAAATTAAACCATTTACCTTATCTCGGGATTGCTGTATTTCACGTAATGTCGTATTTCAGAACATCATACATATACTTTAATTGCTGTCGAGTTTCTTGTCCGAGATGTATAATTAATATTGCGAATCGTGGGACTTTCATTATCATAGATCATGACTCCGATTATGCTTTGATTGCTGTGCTTCGTGTATTGTTGTGCTTGGATGGTAGTTTGCTAAAGAATTGAAAATAATATTGATAAGAAATTTACAGCGATAAAATGAAAATAAAGAATCCAGTAAAAAGCATCCATCATCAAATAACACATTTTCCCCCATATTCCTTGACATCTGAGAATAAATTTTTTTTAAGTTCAATTTTTTATCATATGAATATATAAAAGGCACTGATTTAAGAATTAGCCGTCCTTTCACTGACTTGCTCGTCATCCAGGTCGGTGCCTAATTCGCTGTCTTGTTCCTCATCATAGTCATCGTCTATTTCGGTCTCAAAGTCATTATTCACTTCTTTGTCCTTCTCTTGTTCGCCTCCTTCGATGTCTAGATCTATAATTAAAAATATGTTATATATTATCAGTTTATTATTTGTAACCAATAAGTTTACCTTATGTTTGGATTCGAATAGCTCTCTTAAAAAATGCCAATCACCGGATCATATTCAAAGGTCTCGTTGATACAAAGTTGATGCATCGTTTTTGATTCTTTGATATTAATTTTATTGGTGCAATGACAAGATTTCTTTTGAATATACTCCAATAATGTTACGAATTGTTCGGTATTAGTATATGCATTCCAGTATAGAGCTACGCTAATTTATATGTTCTCCCGGAATCGGCATCTTTTGAGCGAATGTCCCAGAGATGGTTTTGTCCCAGGTTCCTGTTACTATCAAATCGTTTTCATTGGTATAACATTAAGTAGTCAGACGACTGGATATAATTAACTAATCAAATCAAGGAAAATAAAAATTATTATTATTTTAAATGTTTAAGCCGCATGTGAAAAATACATACTATTTTCCTTGCTATATTCCACACATTTAATAGCTTCACCATGAGATCCGAGAATCGTATCATTTCCCATATAGAGGTCAAACCTAATTATTCATTAAAGTTATATTTCAAAAGAGTTGGGTTGTAAGGCAAATGAGATAGTTGTATACATATGCGCAGAACAAGAGTAAAGAAACCTTACTTTATCCCAAATAAAAGGTCCGGATTTGTAGGCTAAACACGACTGACGAAATAGCGTCAGCCGGCATATCATATAATTCGTATTGCTGCATGCTTACAAGGGCTATAAAGGTAAAGAGAAAACTCCGACGTGCACGTAATCAGAACCAACTGTTGTGAATCTGTGTTTGGCCTCCAAGGGAAAACAAATAACAACTCCACACATAAAACCAGCACTTTTGTCGCTCTTCGAGCAAAATCCCCGCTGATTAGCGTACTTCTTCTTACCAATGACCACGGCATAAATCGTCAAACACGAAGTAGACGAGACCAAGCTGCCTTTTCTTTCCTATTGAATACTGAGACTTCTTCCAACACAACTACAAACAACTCTTCTATTTTTGAGCCTAAATAATGATACACATGGCAGTACACACATCCCCCAGCACACACATATTCACCGGGGGATGGAGAATATATAAGTGCTGTGTGCGCTGCTATATGTATTTAATATTCGGCTCTATTTAGGCAAATTGGTGGTCATGTAGGATTTGCGTTATGTGGTTTTCGTTTTTTTTTATGGGATAAGGTATGGTTTTCATTTTTTTTGAAAAGAGTAAAAAAATTTATTCTTGGTACCTATTTTATACTAAAATGTGGATGCATCAAACGCGTTAAAAATGTTTGATATATGCTTGATTGATGATTGATTCTAAATCATTATTAACATTGCAAGTGTTTGTTATTTATTATATAGTTTGTAATGCCTTCTCATATCTCGATCAGACAATATAACGTGTGTCTAGGTGCATTCTTTGCTGATTTGCGCAAAATATTGTCCCAGGTTTGAATTTTAAGCCACCAATTATTTCTTCACGACTAATTTTTTTGAATAGGAGAAGTGCGACTGGTGTAATTCGTAAATTATAAAGTGAACTCAAAAGATGGAACTGAACACTCATGATTATAATGAACGTATTGATTGTTAAAAAAATGAATACTGCGATGAATGTTTAGTTCACAATATTCATGATTATAACAAATTATAATGAATGGATTCCTTTTGAAAGATTTATCAACGTCGAATGGTTGGATGGACCATTGGATTTCGAACGCAAGTGGGATCATGAAGAAAATAGATTTAAACGATGGGGGAAAGAAAAGTGATAAAATTACTCAAGAGTTTATACACGAGGTAAACATATAGACATTTCTAAAGTGAAAGTTGCCTTTTATTTTCTGATACAAGAAGTTTTTCAACAATAGATTCAGACTGCTCTTAAATGCGGTGATTATGGTTTATAATATATTATTGTATGGAATAACAACCGCTCAATAGTAATGGATTATGCAAAGAGTACCAAATAATATGATACAAATCTATTATTGAAAAATGTTGGGAACCTATTCCAGAAAACAGACCAATTGCTGGGAACTTTCCCAGTTAGCAGACAATAAATAAATGGAACTGATATCCTAGATCAGATGAAGAAATTTATGAGTGTCTTGAATTACCAATTAATAAAGGTTCGTACATTTATTCTTATATTCAATCAAAGTGATATTTCACATTAACAGCATCCCAATGAACGAAAGCTCGAAATAACAGCATCCCAAAATACACAAAATCCCGAAATTATAGCATAAATACTAAAATTATTACGATTTTGTACATTCGGGATGTCATTAGTTTGGGATTTCATTCATTTGTCGCGCATATAAGGAATTAGTCATTACTAAACTGATAATATTAGTAATATTTGCCAAACTGGTAATATTACCAATATTAACAGTTCATTATGTACATTATCCTTATACATGTATTCCCGCTTTGAAAACAAATTTAAAATTTACATTTTTCTCGAATGCGTAGTGGAAATGCAGATCTTTAACTAATATAATCTTTTGATTAATGAAAAGTGACTGAATTTGTGAAAAGATTTTTTTAAAAATATTATTATTATAACAATGATAATTAGATAAATGAAAAGTAGAAAACCTGAAATTTAATTTTAAGTAGTACCATATAATAGATCAATTTGTAATATTAACATGTTACAATAATGGTGAAAATTTTGTTTTTTGTCATCTTACTAAGAATTACATAAGTGTAACCAAACTATATGCACTCGTCAATCTCTTAATTAATGCAGTGTAAGGGACATCTTCAGTGTTTAATATTTATGAAGTGGTCGAGTAAATAAAATTAAAGTATCACAAATTTCGTGATCTACATTACCGATCATCGCCCGATTTATTAACACAACCAGCCATGGTGTGATAAGTAAACTTCTTCACGGCTACATACATTTTATAACTTGAGCAACTTTGTATAAATATTGAGTGAAAAACAAAGGCTTACGTCAAAGATAAAGATTTTCGGAAAATTACGTTAAAACTTTCACTATAATGTAACTCAAAAAAGCTAATTGCAACGCGTCCTCGTGTTATTAATAAAAACAATGTTTATATTTCAAAATATATAAATTTAGAATTTGGTTTTATTCATTGAATGAGCAACTATATTATAAGACGGTATCCAGCAGATACAAGGTAGTACAAAATTTCGTGGTGGATAACTAAACGAAATTATGCGCTTCATCAAGTTGCTTATATAAAAACATTTAACTCATTTGTTAGTAAACAAACACGTATTAATAAAAATTATTAAAAATAAAGAGATGCGTCGAATTGTGAAATGTGATTGGATTCTGGCGAGTATATAACAATATATAGTTGCAAAAACTCAAACTTTAGCAAATTTTATATTTCCGATTATCATTCAATGAAATCGAAACCAAATCGTCTCAAATTTTAAATTTATATATTTTGAATATAAACATGTTTTTACTTAATAATGCGAGGACGCATTCAATTAGATTTTTTGAGTTACATTATAACGAATGTTTTATCATAATTTTCTGAAAATCTTTATCTTTGACGTAAGTTTTTCACTCAATATTTATGCAAAGTTGCTCAAAGTTATAAAACGTAAGCAGGTAGATATCGTGAATAAGTTTACATATCGCACCATGGCCGGTTGTATTAGTAAAAAGTTTAGTTTACAAATGGGCTACTTTTAATGTTTGATCGGCGAAATTTCGTGGTGATCGGTCATTTCTGACATGTATTTGGATCATCAGGTTTGAAAAAGATCATCATCTATATTTAACTAAATGTACAGGTTTCGGTATACATGTAACACAAGATTTATAATGTACATTTGCATTGTGTTGCATTTTAATCTCGCATAATACATTATCCTGATACATGTACATTATGAGAACAATTCATATAAACTTGTGCTTTAAGCTAATTGCATACATGTATAACCAAATGACAAAAATGCATTTACATATAAATACTGTAAAATGACCAATGCATTTGAAAAAATTACACAAAAATTTTATTATTCATTTATGCATTAAAATGAGCATTTAACTTTTTAACTAATTAACAATACACAACACATTCAATTTTTAAAACGAGATAATATAAATTCAAGCGCAGTTTCAATGTAAATACATTTATTAAGATATGAGTAATCTCTCAAATTTCATTTATCAATCATCCAACTTCCAAGCTCAAACACATATCAAAATTCAAGTGAGAATTATTCTGCAACAGCTTGCAAATCTGATGGATTATCACCAATTATAAACCACGTTTGGCATTAGCCAAGACTCCAGTCCAGAATTTTACTCAAATTTTTTTCAGTCTGTTCTTGATATGCTTAAAAGAATTATTCGGTAACCTGCAGATGACATGCTTCAAGAAATAGTTAAAGATTTTTCTCCTCCAGAATATACGAATTGGCTTCCAAATATAATTAGTACCGTAGATAGAACACATATTCTGATCAGCAATCTAAAACATTATATCACAATCATTATATTAATCGAAAAGGATTTTATAATATTATTTTGATGGCAATAGTAGACCATACAGAAATATTTACTTATATTCATTCAGAACAGTCGAGAAGTATACATGATGCAAGAGTTCTCAAACAGACAAATTTTTGGACGTGATTTTGTAATGTATGTATTTTTATATTAACATTAACATATTAAATAGAATTTAATATTTATATAAACCTATATAGAATCTGTCTAGTCACTTTTCAAATAATACGCATATTCTCAGTGATTCAGCATTTCCTCTTTTATCTTGGCTTCTTATCCTTTTAAAGAGAAATCTGGAAGAAGACTCACTACACCTTAATGAAAATTTAATAAAGCTCTTTCTTCTGCTCGCATAGCAGTTGAGCAGGCATTTGAAAAACTCAAATCCAGGTGGCGCATTCTCAAAAATGCTATGGAAATTACTAATATGGAAACAATTGTGAATGTAATTGATATATGTTATATTCTTCACAATTTATACATTGATTATAATGATATCTGGGTTACTGATGAATATGATCAAGAACGTATTGATGATGGTAGTAGAGAAATAGTAAATATTAATGAAGATATAAATTTGCAAAGTTTATGTAATGCTATACATAAGAGAAATAATCTAGTTGGTCTGCTATACTCAGACTAACCCATTATTCACATCTGTATAAAAAAATGAGAAGTTTTTCATAAGATGTTAGCATCTCAAATTATTAACTTTTTCAAATAAATTTTTTGATTTATTGAATTATTAATAAAATTTAAATTTTTTGATGTGTACCTGTTTAGCCTTTTAATGTATATTTATTCAATCTTCTTAATTGCCAAAACCAATTCTTCTAAAATATTTAATAATTTGCTCTGAAATTCATGGTTTTCTTTTCTCATTTCTTCATGTAATTCTTTAATAATATCTAAAGTAGCTGAATAACTTTTATGCTTTTTTTCCTTCTTTTCTTTTTTCTTTCTATTGTTTACTGAATTCATCTCCTTTCTATTATCAGAGTTATAAACTGGATTAAAAACTGTATCATCTTCAAATATTTTTTGCATTTGTTTTTCATACTCAAAATGCATCATTTCTGCTCTTGTACACTTATTATTGTTAATCATAAGTTTATAACCTTTAACAAGTTTGTTCTATCTTAATAAAGAATAATATTAAATATAAAAAATATTGTTATATACAATTAAAAATAAATCAACAAAAAAGA